GCCCCCGAGGGCGGTCCCGCGGCAGGGAGGGCTCCCACCTCTGTCGGGAGGCTTTCGTCTGAGGGCTGCAACCTCCGACGTCCTATTGATACTGCGAAGGCCAAAGCGGCCTGGGTCACGGTTCCCATGGGGAGCAGCTCACGGTACGTGAATACAGCAGGATCCCCTCTGGCACCCCCTGTGCCCCCCGGCCTCCGGGGGCCGTACCCCGACCCACCGGGAGTGCTCCAGCTCATTGCCAAGTGGCAAAACCCTGAAACCAACCTCTTTATTGCTTTTTTTGGAGTGGGACATGCCCCATCCTGCTGTCCCTGCACAACCAGGCTGATGCACCAAAGGAGCAGGGGGCACAGGCCTGTCCCGGGGCGCTGGGGGAACTGCGCGGGATCACCCCCAGCCCCACATCAGTCACAGCCCTGCAGCAAGGGGGGCCTTGGGCTCTGTGTGCCCCTGGTTAAGGGGACAGCAAGGGACAAGGTAGCCCATTGCCTACCTGCTGGGCAGCGATGCCAGGACAGAGGGATGGGGCCGGTGGCCAGCAGCTCTGGGGTGAGGAGCCAGGCGTTCCAGCTCACAACTCAGCGACTCCGACCCCACCTCACCCCGGGGTCTGCACAGCCACGGCTGCTCCGGAAGGACCCGGGCATCCCGGGCTAGCAGACCCCAGCCCGGGCAGCCCCAGTGGGGCAAGTCACGAGCTCGGGCACTGGCGATCCCTGCAGACGCCAGGAGGAGGAAGACAGATTTGGGCAGCAGAAGAGTTGGGGTGGGCAGGCAGGCACAGCAGGGCAGGGCCAGCCCCTCCGCATCCTGGGGTTCAGGTGCTGTTCCCCTGCTCTTGCTCAAAAAGCACCATGGCCAGCTGGGAGCGAGAGCCTACACCCTCCAGGCTGCTCTGCACGCAGCGGTGGTAGATCTCCTCGCTGAGCCGGGGGTTGCAGGCCTGGTGCCGGTAGCGCTGCAGCAGGGCAGGCTCCACGGCCCGGAAGACATGGAGGTTGGAGTACTTGATGAACATGTCATAGATGTCCAGGGTCTCCAGGATGTCCTCGTTCTCCTGCACATCACTTGCCATGCGGGTGCGTGCTGCCATATAGTCGGCATTGTAGAAGCAGGCTTCATGGAAGACGTTGCGGTCGAAGCGCCCTGCATCCCGCAGCAGGTCCAGCATGGTGGGCGGCACCTGGTTGTGGTAAGCGATAGCGGGGTTGTAGCCCTGGAAGTGAATGGGGAAGAAGACCTGCCAGTTGTTGATGGTGTTCATCTTCAGGAAGTCAACAGTGACCTCCGTCCCCACGCCGGCCACAAAGAAAAGTGTGTCCACGGGGTGCTTCTTGGAGATGATGTCCATGACCTTGATTTGGGATGGTGCATCTGTCTTAACACTGATCCATGGGATCTTCACCTCTGCATACTTGCGCTCATACTCGGTGATCTGGGCCTTCACGGGGGCGAAGATGTCATTCTGGGTGACCTGCTGGGCCTCGAAGGGATCATAGATGAAGAGGAAGGTGAGCACTGCGTTCTCACTGCTCTCAAAGGCAGTCGCTGCATAAGCCTCCAAAAAGCGGGCAGCGTGGTCCCGGTCATGGGCTGTCAGCGGCAGGATGACATTGATGCGGCTGGCCTCTGTCACGTAGGGCATGGGGATGATCTCCACCTCGCTGAGGGGCCGCACCAGGTGCACGCGCTTGGTGACGGAGCGGCTGTGCCCCTTCTGGGTGACCACCTCCACCTGGAGGTCCAGTGTGTACTCCATGCCACGTGTGGGATCGAAGCGCCGGTAGCCGTTCACCAGCTGCTGCTTGCGGACGTGGAGGACCGGCCGGGCTCCATGGCTGTAGCCACCACGTCGGCCATGTCCGCCAGATCCGCACCGCGCAGCTCGCACTTGGGGGAGCCATCCACACAGGCGTAGACCTGCTCCTCTGTGAAGTAGTCCCAGCGCAGCACCTCGAAGCGGGTTTTGGGCTGGAAGGGGGGCGGGATGCCAATGGGCCATGTGGCACCGTGGTCCCCGTCAATGGACAGGCTGCTGGCATTCTGGATCTCCAGCTGCAAGAGGAGAGATGGAGGAGTTAGAGCCAAGGCGGACACAAGTAGGTCTTCCAGCTTTGGCTGCAGGCCAGCTGACTCCCGATACTCAGATCAACCACTCCTGGCCAAAAGAGCAGTGCCAGAGCAACTCTGCCTTCAGCCTGACTCCTGAACAGCACCCCGAATATGGCACGCCACCTCCATTGGCAGGATCCATGTCCTCTCTCTCCCTGCCTGGCCTTTGCTGGTGGACCTCAGCACCCTTCTGGCTCCATCACCCTGAACCACGACCACAGCTCCAGGACCCATCTGGGTCTAAAGATGCTCTCCAGCCAGCACCGCTGCCCTTGCAACCACAGGGGCTCAGTTGATCCCATCCCACAGCAGGTTTAGGTGAAAAAGCCTCATATTAGAGTGGAGAGGTGACACAGAGCAACGAGAAAGCCCACAGGGATGACAAAAGGAGCCCAGACTCTCCCAGTCAAGGCCAGGTCTCACCTGAAGCTGCTGGATCTCCTGGTAGGTCCTCTCAAGCTCCACCTGCGCAAAATACTTGTGCAGCCGGTACATCTGGAGGGGATCCAGCACAGGGTGGACAGTGAAGGCGCTCTGGAAACGGAGGTCGGTCTCCCGCTCGGGGTCTGCATTCTTCCCCAGCTCAAAATAGTGGTAACGCAGGCCCTGCACCAGCCAGAGGAGACGGGTCACAGCCCGCCCCAACTCGCACTCCCACCCCACCGGCCGCCAGCACAGCAAGCTCAAAAGGTGACAGAGTGCAAGGGCTGGTCCCCCCAGGACCTGGGAGCCCACGGGAAGGCAGGAAAACACCCCAGGCCAGGATCAGGCTCTCAGAGACCATCTCTGCTGCAGGACCTACCTCATGCTCCTCGACACAGTTGATGGCTGTGTAGTCAATGATGCAGCGGCCCAGCCACTCGTCAGGCCGGGCACTGAGGATGTCATTGCGGCAGCTCTCCAGGTGCTGCTGCAGGAGCAGGAGGAGGCTGCGGGACAGCAGGTAGCCAAACCCCCCATAGCAGTAGCGTCCCTCGGTGTCCCCACCGATGAACTCTTCAGGACGGCCCAGGTAGAGGTGGGTGTCAATGCTGAGGTGGGCAACCAGGCGACTGATGCGGTGTGCCTCCGTGTAGGTATCATCTTGCACCAGGAAGAACCAGTCGAAGTCGTTCACGTAGTGGTCCAGAAGGTACCTGACAGTCTGGTACATGTTCCAGATGGGCCGCTCGTCACTGTGCGTCACCACTGTCATGCCGTGGGGCACCTTGCGGCCCCGTGTGCCTGTGAAGTACACCAGGCGCTCCAGGCGGTGGGCCAGCGTGCGGTTGACAGCCACCCCCAGCGTGTTCCGCGTGCTCTTGGAGGTCAGCACACCCACCACGAAGAGCCGCTGCCGCATCCCCAGCTCTGTACTGATGTACCGGGTCCTGCAGGAGGGAGAGAACATCTGGCCCTGGGGCACTGCACCCACCTTGCCCTGCACCTTCCCTGTCCCCCCCAACGGCACCAACCTCAGTTCCTCTGCAGGAACTGCTCCCAGGCTTCAGCCACACGCACAAGACACGACCACAGTGGCACTGGCTGA